ATGCGCTTGTATTCAATAGATTGTGCTTCTCGTTTGGCGTAAAACCAAACTTTCATATTACATTTGCCCCTGAAACACGAATTAATAGTTACCATTATTTACACCCAAGCACCACAGCCTTTCACTTGAAAGAACACTGACTTTTAATGGGCTGTACATTTTTACAATGTCACAAGCACACAGTACTCTCATTGAATATACAGTAAACAAAATAATATCTTTGAATTCCAAAGGAAAATGATCAAATCGTAAGCAGAATTTGGAACCAATAAAATTAGTTTCACCGGTCAAAGTTCACAACGTAGTTAGGGTTCTCCAACGTCTTCGGTCGTCTAAGCCCATGAAACCGTTTGATACCGAATCATTTTACTTTTGATCAGTTACGAGTCTCTGTGTTCTCTAATTGGGGTCCCACGCTGAAAACAGCCCACAATACTCGTATTCTCAAGATACCATCTCAACAAGGGAAGACGGCGTCGGGACAAACGTGTCTTAACATAGCAATGCCACTCCGATATACCTGGGGAGCATCAAGGGGGAGGGGGGATACAGTGTAATATAATTGAAGAAAAGTTTTATAATTATACAGTAGAACATCGTGAACTCGGACCTCTTTAACCCGCACGTCCGGATAACCCGGATCAGTTTGGAAAAAAAAGTTGTTTAGCGTATTAAACGAAGATTTGTTTTGCAAACGATAAATGGATATTCTCAGTACTCATATTACTGGAGTTTACTTGCCAGCGGTCATTGCCCTCACCCCTCCTACCTTCATCTCCGCACACACACCCCCGCGCAGTGGTAAAAGGAAAGAAGTGACCCTGGCGATGCTGTGGGAATTCTCAGGTCCACCGATTTGTTTGTACCGATATATATTTGGTACAGTGAAATACATATTATAATGTATTTTTAGGTCAAAGTGTGCCGATAATAATGTTTAATCTTCATTAAAAATGTGTTTGGTAAGTACATGTTCTGTTTTTATCATTGATTCCCCTTTCTCTGGATAATCCGGATTTTCGTTAATTCGGATCGGTCCCGGCTCTAGTTAATCCGGTTTAAAAAGGCTCTACTGCCTTTAAGAACTAATCATACACGTGTTTAGTATACTTAATAATAATTTTCTACAAGTCTGTGTTAAAATATATTCAGTTTTTGAGGAATGGCAAGGGCATTGAACCTTTCCTGTACTTACATTCATTTTGTTGCTGGGATTATATAACTTCCATTTACATCGACACGCACTAAAATTAAGATTCGAACGCGTTTATGGGCAGGCCTGGCTGGCAGAGTGCGTCGGCGTTTCCACCAATTACGCAAGGCGACGCGTTTCCATGTTTTTTCTAAACATCTGATAAACGTTGAAAGTCGAAACCATCACTGAGGTTCAGAACATTTCTGGTATTAAAAACCCTAAACGATGAAACAGATCCTCTAAACTTAAACGTAGTTGGAAGAAAAAACGCGATGATGTCCTCCTTGGAATGCGATTATTAAACGCGTGTAGAGAGCACACCACTGACGTCAATAGGCAATTTTGAAAGCATTTAAAACAAAACGTGCTCCAACAACCTGTTAAGACTAATTGGCCACGGAGCGAAGGAGTACTTGTAAACAGCAAGGAGTAAACACTGCGCACTTCCCCTGCATACTCATGCGATGTTTATTTAGTGTGTTGCTTTCGTAACTAAAGACTTTCCTCCTGTGTCTTTCGGGGAAGCAAACTAACACGGGCACGTGAGGCAAGGAGCAATCTCCAACTTTGTTCTACCGTAGCGCCTTGACACAGAGTTGCGAATCAGCAACTTTCGACAAACGACTTTCAAAACATACGCCAACTCCCGAAGCAACGGTGTACGCTAAACGTAAACAGGTTACTTGCATTTTCTCGAAGTTTAAGTCTCGCGGACGATCGTGCAGAGAATGTGTTTCATGGAGAACATGAAAGAATGACATAAACGAATATGAACATGAAACGACATAAACTTGTAGGGTAAATTTCAAGAACATTTTGAAGTGCGCAACCATTTATTTCCTCTTCTATTAAAATAACGTATTTCACAGAAGAAAAATAAAAACCATCTCTAACGTCACACGTGAAAGAAAAATCACATGAAAGCATACGACTTCTCTGATTCTGAGAAAAACAATTGATAGAAGGACGTTTCTACCTTGAGATCAGAAACGATGAGAAATAATTATTAGGTTTGACAATTTTTTAAATAACTCAGAAATTGTGAAAACAATAATTTCTATCAAAGGATTCAGTTCTATAATATATCTATATCAAAGTTCCAGGCGAAACACGGTGTGGAGTGTTCCTCGTGTGAACTTGCTTTAGTCGTTTACGAATGAGAAAAACAGCTCACAGTAGTTTTGTTCTGGGAGATAATATTTTTGTGAACAGTTAGGTTGAAATGTTCACTCAGTAAATAATTTTATTCTTCAGGAGCTGAGATAATTTACATCTCATATAGCCAACAATATTTTCTTGAAATTATTGCTATCAATACTTTAAAATAATGTGTTGTGTTGGCAATGTTAAATAGTGCGTTGTGGTTATACATTAAAATCTGTTGCGTGTTGCAATAACAGTTTGGAAGATGTTCGTGAAACAGGGCTCATTAAAACTCCGCCTGAAGTCTAACCACAGATCATTCGTCTGCTGAAGGATCAATCTCCAAGTAAATGAAATTCCAGTGCCTACGAATACATAATATACTACAGTGCCTCCAGAATCCGTCACGCCTGACTGGACGCGAGAAACCGACCATGCCTCAAATCCTTTGCGTTCGTGGCCGAGGAACGCAACGCAATTCGACAGCGCGCCGCGGAGGGGGGAGAGGCGGGGGAGGCGTCGGAGTTGACAGATGCGGGGGAGGCGACGGCGGCGGAGGCAGAGGTGACGGCTGTGGACGAGGCAGAGGCCGAGGAGGTGAAGGAGGCGTGTTTACAGTGGTGGGAGGAGATTAGAAGGCAGCGCGGTGGTGAAGGCGGTTGCGAAGATGATGACAAAGAGCAGAGGTGAACGGCAAAGGTGGCTTAGGGCATCAACTGATGTCACTGCGGTGCCTCTGACCGGTTCTAGAGTTCCACTCCCGACGGTCCACTCGGGCGACACTCCCAAATCCCCGCGTAGGATTTTCGACACTAACTGCAGAGCTAGATCGAGCTCAGCCGCTGTCCGAAAAAGAATTCTAGCGTCCGGCTGTTCTGATAAGTACTTTTCCGTGAGTTCTCCGATCAATACCAGGCAAATGGTGGAGCTGTACCCTAACAAAAGAAACGCGAACCGCGCGCAATCTTTCCTTCCTAGTCCCATCCTCACCACTTACTCACACTAACACGCACCACACTATCAGAGATGCTGAGAAACAAGTCACGAGCTTATAGCTTATCTCGGCTGGGGCGGCGCTCAGTGTCTGGGAGATACATGGTTGGGGATTACCCTGCAAGCTGACACGTAGGTCGGCGAAGGATCTCGCGATCCAGCGGGAGAAGACCTTTGAAGAAAACTTTGTTTTCGGCTCGAAAGCTGCAAGTTCTGAGGATGAGCGCGATCGAAACGATCTTTATCAAAATATATTTTTTGATACCAGACGACATCTTTAAATTACCATATTTAGCACATACTCTGTAGACGTTTGGTCTGGCCCTTCCCGTACCCTTATTCGGCGAATTGATAAACACGAACATTGTCAATTAAATTTTAATACACATAAATTCAATGTTAGCCTGCCCCTTCTCGTACCCTTATTCGGCGAATTGGTAAACACACTGTCAATTAAATTTTAATACACATTAAATTTTAATACACATGTTTTAATACATATTAGAGGTCCAGTCTAGAAACATCCATGTCGAAAACCATCGATGGTTTTCAGTCGATATATTTTTAACATTGACGATTTAATTTTGAACACCGATGTTTGCTAACATCAATGTTTTGCTATCGATGTTTTGCTGTACCGGAGGCGAAGGCGGCAGTTTCGGTGTGTGCGATGGCAGCGTGGGGCGCGGAGGCGTAGGCGGCGGGCGGCGCGCGTTCACGGCGGAACTCATCTGGCGCGGGGCGGAGGTCACGTGGCCGCGGGCGGGGACGGGTGCGCGTGACGGAGCGGAGGCGGGCCGGAGCGGGGCGGGAGGCCGGGGGCAGCGCACGGTCGACCGACAGTTCGCGCCTCCGCCGCGCCACCTGCAGGCGCCGCGGGCCTTTGGGGCGCGGCGGGCCTCGCGCCGGGAGAGATGGCGCGCGTGACGGACGCGGGAACGCACGCGGAAACCATGACAAGAGGCGCCTTGGCAACTAGGCGCGTTGGTACGAGAACAAGTGGTAAAGACGAACAAAAAGCTAAATTCCTGCAACATTAACGCAAATAAAAAAATTAACAGAGAGGAGGAAAATATGAAAAAGAGGTAAAGCGAAAAATTAGAACCAGTAATAAATTTATATTCCAAAAGAAATTAGAAAAATTGCTTTTACTTGGAAACACTAAAAACGAAAATAATTAATTAAACGAGTCATCATTCACGAAATGGAAGTAATTAAGAGAACGAGATCAAGCGGGAATGTACAGAAAGAGAAATATGTACCAACATCAAAGATACAGCAATGAAATAACAAAATATAGGTGAAGAATAAGAAATTGCAACAAATATAGGACAATCACCCAATGGTGAAAAAATGTCGGCCACATCAGGTGTTTGTATGGTATGTTAACGCTTCGTCACGGAGCAGTGCGGAATACGGTTTTTAGGTAGGTTAATAAAAGTTTCGATCATCCAAAAATTGTAGGCTTCGGTTCCCTGATGAGTTTTCGTGGTTTCGTCGGATTCTACCATCCGTCGACGTGATGCGAGTAAATGAACGCATTTCCATCAACGTTCTACAGTTGCTTACCGCTATTTTTCGGCCCAGCAAGATCCAGCGGATAGCCACAAAATTCCTAGCTTCTCTGAGGACATGACTCAGTCTGTACTACAAACAAGATGTGTGGCTTTCATGTACTACGGGTGTGAAATAAGGCAGGAGAATGAATTACATATTTTAATCCCAACTGTACATCACACAACTTTGAGGAGAACGTTTTAGAATAGCAATGCAGCACAGAGTTGTCCACGGAGACGTCAGGCACAGGCATATACACAGGCATAGGCATAGGCATAGGCATAGGCATAGATATAGGCACAGGCACAGGCACAGGTACGATTAGAGCTAAATATGTCTCACGGCAGGAATGTGACTGGAGCGGAGGACAGAGGATGTGACATACACAGGACGTGTCAAATGGTCAGTGTTCACGACAAGCGGAATCCTACCAGTGGCTGCCAAATAGGCAGGCGGAGGACACGACGGGACAGAAACATAGGCGTCAGATGCACCAGAAGTAAGGCCCAAGAGCAAATATTACCATCGCACGAGGTGATATTCAAGGCGGCCATTCGTAGCCACCAAAACACTGACATTATTGCGAGTCACGCGCGGGTGGACAGAGAGAGAGAAAGAGAAAGAAAAAGAGAGAGAAAGAAAGAGAAAGAGAGAAATAGAGAGAGAAATAGAGAGAGAAATAGAGAGAGAAATAGAGAGAGAAAGAGTGAGAGAAAGAGAGAGAGAAATAAAGAGAGAGAGAGAGAGAAAAAGAGAAAAAAGAGAGAGAAAGAGAGAGAGAGAGAGGGGGGATTGAGGGAACAAGAGGAGAAAAAGAAGAGAGAAGGATATAGTGAACAAGAAATAATAAAAGGCAAAGAGTGGAGAGGGAAAAGGAGAAGAGATAAAGAGGACAGGAAGTGAGAAGAGAAAGCCAAGCGAATAAGAACGGGTGGGAAAGAGAATGAGAGAGGAAGGGAGAGGAGAGAAAATGAGGGAGGAAGGAAGGAGAGAGAGAGACCGAGAGGGGAATGGACAAGGAGAAGGAAAGAGAAGAAAGGTAATGAAAGGGGGAAAGCACAGCGAATAAGAACGAAAGATTCTGAGAGGAAGGGGGACGCGAGCGCCTCTGATTGGAAAGGAGAGGAGGAAGGCGGAGCGAGGAAGGGTGGGAGGGGGGGGGGAGAAAGAGGCAGGCAGCGCGCTGATAGGGATCGCACGTGGCCACGCTGTCGGCGCGGCGCGAGGCGCGCGAAGCCGGCCCTCAGAACGCCTGCGCCCCAGAGGCCACCGCCACCACCCGACAGCTCCACAGGGCCCAAGACGCCCCGTGAACGCAAAAGGTCAACCTCGTAAGACACGCACAGCCAGCGTACAATTCTCCTCAAATATATGCATAATAAACAGGTTAAAGACAATTATCCTTCAGAAACGCGACTTTACTTGAAGAAGCAAACTTCAAAAGGTGACATGGTCCATTTGGCTGATATTGGTTGTCTTCATGTGAATTTTATCTAGGGAATTTTATTTCCAAGTCAAGAAAGAAGAAAAACGCGAATGTCTTCATAATGCATTAAGTAACATTACTTCGTTTGATTGATGTGGTGGACAGAACATAAGAGTTCGCGTTGTCGTTAATTCAGAGAGTTTAAGTCTGATACTTCACTTTGAAAAGTGTGAAGTGACGGAGTGTTGTGATGTTGCGCTCCTCACTTACCACTTGACGTTCCAAGTCACTTAGAAGAGATTCGAAACCTACTTAGCAAGGCCTTCTTTGGAACGCGCATGGCCCAGGTAATACGCTCGAGGATGCGTGGCCCGGGCACTATAAAGAAAGACAGAAGAAGAACTTGGGCAGATACATTCCCACCTTATAACTCCGCAGATCATGAGCAAAAGGAAGTCGCGCGGTAAATCTGTCGAATAGTTTGCTCCTCTACTTGTTCTTGAAGAATCTACGACCGCGAACGAATTAATAACGAAACGAATAGAAATTCGAATTAACTCTGACATTCCCCCAAAAGCTAATGTTTCCGCAACTTTTCCGAAAGCTGACAATGCTCCAATTAAAAATACGTTCTATGAAAACAGTGATTCAAAAAGGGACAAGTATATATCCTGTACTTGTAAAATCTCATGGGTAAGATAGAGACTTTCTGGCATTGTGAGTAGACATTTCAGGGTATCAAGGCAGCGTGTCTTCTGGGCGCGAAAGTTGGGTGTGAAGCACCCTGACACACTATACAATACAATCACGGCTGACGTTATCGCAGTCCCAACTGCAACGGTTGAAGGCAGCACGACAGTTTGAGAAGTTATGAGGGTATACGAGATTATCACAACAGCAAAAAATGGGGAAAACCACGTACAATACCAATTAAAACATTTGGTAGGATCGTCTAAACATGGACATGGAATTTTTTCCATACTCTCTCTATTTTTGATACGAAATACCTTTATTGATAGCTGAAACTTAGTTAATTCTTTATTGTACACTCCAGTATATAGAGCTACTTTACGTAAATATTAGACAGAATTCACGTTTTCGTAAATATTATTATAATTCATTAGAAACTGAAACTGTATGCGACTTTATGACATTAGAGATTTACGTCAAAGGCGTTTCAAAAATATTTAGAAAATAAAGTATTCTGAAATGTCAGTGTCGCCTTTCTTAAGACTTAGAGAACATCTCCTTAATTTTTGCTGCCCTAAGCATTTTGGATAGTTTCTATATGAAAGGCAGCGAGATCAGCATTTTATCCAAATTCAAAATTTAGAAAAAAAATGCAATAAAGTGAATTTGGCAAAACCTGAACACAAACAACAAAACCGCATACCGTAAATGGCAATCGATTATTCAAAATCTCGGACATGAGTGTCTAGAATTCCGGCGAAGAAAATCCAGCGCAGACCTGCATGAGAGGGAGAAGCAGAAGTCGTGTGTACTCACCTCGACCACCTGGCGCAGGTCCCGCACGTAGACGCGCTCCGAGTCCAGCACCTCGGCCACGACGCGCTGCGCGTAGGGCAAGGCGGCGCCGGCGCGGCCCGGCGAGCAGCGCCCGCTGTCCCCGGACCCTGCGCACACGCACGAACATTTGCTCTCACGCTTGCATGGACACTTGCCCGAGCACTTTCATGGACACTTTCCCGCACACTTGCATGGGCATTTGCACGAGCACTTGCATGGACACTTCCCCGCACACTTGCATGGGCACTTGCCCGCACACTTGCATGGGCACTTGCCCGCACACTTGCATGGACACTTGCCCGCACACTTGCATGGACACTTGGCCTCACACTTGCATGGACACTTGCCCACACACTTGCATGGTTACTTGCCCGCACACTTGCATTAACACACGGACCCTTGCTCGCACACTTACACGAACATTTGCTTGCACTCTTGTACGGACATGCTTTCGCACATTTTCACGTATATTTACTCGCACACTTGCACGAACACTTGCCTCAACACTTGTTCACTCACAAGTTCGCATGCTTTCTCATTCTTGTACGAGTAATTTCTTACACGCTCGCACACTCGTACTAACATTTGCCAGCAGACCAGCTCACACATTTGTACACACATACTCGGCGGCAGTGGTACATGTGAATAAGAGGTGGAGGAACATTAGAAAGGCAGCGTTAACCAAGTCAATGGCAGGGTGCCTAAAAGGATGTCACGGGAAAGAGATGTTTAATTCTAAGGTGAAAACAAACGAGATAAAACACACGTCACCAACACAAAGCGCTGAATACAAATTGAAATTGTCTTCATTTTAAGTAGAGCTTCAGGCTACCTCGTTGATCATACCAGTTATGATTTGTCTTGCGTGCTCCAATACAACACTTTGAAATCGTGAATAATATTAAATCGTTTTTATGATTCCTCAATTTATCACTATCTTTGGATACAAAACTGTGATAATTTTATAGCTAGTACATGAACTTCAGTCCCTTAAGAGGAAGGATGGTCTATTAGATAATTTTAGATAGTAACACACAGTAGGGAGTTTTGGCCCCCTCGAACGTTAAAGCAATCGAAAGTACTATCGATCTTCTGCGCATGCGCAGTTTTGAGTTTCGCCTCACTTTTGTGGATTTGCGGACGCGCAGAAGATGGAGATTGCAGGCGATTGCCCCTATGGTATGCCGTGTAAACACTCCCTAATAGGCGAAACGTTACAGCAATTGACAGCATCATCTGCGCACGCGCAGTACGAATGTGTCATCCCTTTTGTGCATCTGCCCATGCGCAGAAGATCGATATTACAGTCGATTGCAGTCCGCTATGGCAAAAAGTCCCCATCATCGGTGTCCAAGAAATATAACACATCTCCAAAATTTTCCTTCTGTAGAACTGTTTTATTATGTTATATGGGGATACCTTCACCTTTGCACCATACGATTGATCCAGTGTTTATTACTTTGTTTTATGACGATTGTCTTTGACTATCAAATTCAAGATAAACAGCTTTAATTTTATTTAATTTCCACATACTGCTCACATTTCGTCTTACGCTTCGTTGTTAACATATTTTAATTAAGTTATTTTTTAATAACATATTTTAATATTTCAGCTCTGAAGATACCAGCAATGTTTAATAAAACGTACGTAAGCAGAAAGTGACACTAATTTTATTTTCGAAAAAAATGACTTAACTTACTTGAAAAATGAGTTTTTGAAATGAGTCACCTTTCTTGGACATCAACGATATATCAAAAATATAATCATTAATTGGGCAGAGAGGGTGGGTAGATGACAGAGGCACAGGGGACGATGACGGCGGAGGCAGCAGCAATGGTGTTGGACGGGGGTAGTGGTGGCGGTGTTGGTGTTGGTGGTGTTGGTGGTGGTGGTGGTGGTGATAATGAAGGCGACGTCCTAAGACAGTGGGTCCTTGTAAACTCTCAATGCGTTCTCTGTACTCCGCCGCAGCTCACACGGCTGTAGGCTCAAGGTTGAAGGCCAGCTTTAGATGTGGGAGTCTTTAGCTCGGCACCGCAAGCATTTTTTCCGCAAAAACCGCAAAGTAATTTAAGTGGCCATTAAACTATGACGTAGATTCACTCATATACAGGAAGTATCTGCGAATATTTCATTCTGACAATATTTTACATTGTACGAAAAAGTGATTTCACATATAAATAAACGCGACTATGACCGAATAAGGTTTTCTCAGAATTTCGAATCAATCAAAAATTAAAATGTATGCTAATATTTCATGAACAGATCATAAAACACGGATTTATAACCATATATCATAGCATACTCTCATGAATGTCTTATCTGGAGCATCTTGTTAAAGAAAACGAAATCCTTTCTTGGAATTAGGGAGACTGTCTTTATTATCAGAGCACTCAACAACTCCATTCGAAGGCTCGCTTGTAGCTTTCACGCCTTACTTTCTCGGAAAAGATTTCTCACATAATACCTAACACGTTGGTTGTCTTCTTTCAATAGTATCCGTTAGAATGAATGAACTATCCGATGTCACCAGAGAAACTGTTGGTATTCAAGTGGGATTCTTATTGCCATTCGTTCTCAAAGGGTTGACTTCATCGTCTACTGCATGTTTGTATATCTACTAATTAATCATAACACATTAAATGAATAGTTTATTTCAGAAACAACATGCTTTTTTTGCTAATTTGACTTCTTTGTGTAGTCTCAAGCATCATGTAAGGCAGATCTAGAGAAAGTCAGGCGATTTTGGAGTGTTTGTACTACAACTTCTAAAAGTATTGACACAATGCATGTGACATTGTCTATTTTAATGCTGTTTTTATTCCAACCGAAAAGTTACTGTTGACTAACATATGCTTTTCATGAAATAAGTCAATCTTAAACCTTATTGTTCTTTACACTTCACCCTGATAATTGTCTTCATTAACATACATTCATATGATTGGTTAATTCTAGCTGCCCAAGTTTGCAATTCTCTCACTATTAGGGGCATAGCTTCTAAATAGTACCTGCGGCATTGTGGAAAGCAAATGCAACTGAACAACTGTTATCAGGAATTGACTAATTTGCATTAAGTTAGAAAATTCTAAAAGCATTTTTTCCCGGAAAAACACTAAGTTTCAAATTCTAAGCTAATAAGTTCAAATTCTAAGCTATAAAAATTAATAAGTAAAAGAAAGTTGAAAATTTGTTACTTAGAACTACGATATTAGACTCAAGTTGCTGCGCAAAATCTGTACAGTCAAAATGGGACGAGTAAACCTATCTCCATATTTCGAAACGTGTATTCAATTTTCTCCTTCCACTAATTCTGTAAGAGAATAATTTGTATTCCTGAAAATTGGTGGGGGACGCCCTACTTTTAAATTAACATTACGTCCCTAAGATTTCTATTAGTAAAGTATTTTTTCATGTATGATATATTAAATTAATTAATTCACGTATTTTCTCGTTCCGTGGGCAATTTTGTGTAAGGAGAGTAAATAGTTTTAGTATAATGTTTGTGCCATGGACTTTCCGTGTTATAATTATGTAATGTTCCGTGAAGTAACGGCGACGGATTTGAAGAGTTGAAACTAGCAGTGAGTGGCTATCGCAAAGACGTATTGTGAAACGGAACAACTGAAGCCTAAGTGAAGTTACATGCTCGTAGTCTCAGAATAAATGTTATGTATATGTGGGTCACGTAGAGAGTTTGGAAATTATCATTTTTTTCCAATGAAGAAACAAATAACCAAGTTACACATGCGGCAGTTGCCCCTGATTGTTAGGCAACCTCTTACGCACTGGTGTTTTGCAGGTCACGCTCTGATGGAATGAAGGAGATTAGAGGTACCAGGCGAAGTCATGCGCAGAAGGGTTTGTTTAGCATTCAGGGGCAAAGACAACACGTGTAACTCGGTTATATGAAATTTCCCACTGAATGTTCGTAGGAAAAAAGCTGTCATTTTTGACTCCTCTACTTGGCCCCGATATTTTAACAAGAATTCTGAGGCAACGCACATAATAAAGCATTGTAAAAGGACCTTTTTACAGCCTTCCAAATACTATGGTATTACTATGGTAGTAGGGATGGTACTATACTATGGTATTAAGTATGCGACATTGATGTCGATGTTTTGAAAATATCGATATTTTAAATATCAATACATTTAAGCCGATGTTTTATAACATCGATGTTTTGTGCTCGATGTTTCTACGTTTTCTATGTCTTATTTGTGAGTGAACATTTGTATAATTGCAATATTGTAAAAGGGCACTCAGGTTTGCGGGCTTTGTCCATTATTATTTTTCACTTCAGTTTCAGTTAAATCTTATTTGTAAATTAATAAATGTGGCCGCTATCAAATTACAAAGTTAAAATCGGATACAATTACGGATATTATCAATATCTGTATATATCGCACGCGGTTTGCTCTATCTTTATCGAGCAGACTACCATCACTTGCTCGAGATTCTGATGACCTAGTGTTTCCTTCATCTTTCTTGTATTTCGCACACGGAGGGACATTGCATACCTTCGTTTACAGTTAAATATTAATTATAAATTAATAACGACGGCCAATGTCAAAATTAATTTTTTTGCGCACGAATTTAACGCCAGAGTTTACTAAACCAACTTTAAAACATCGATGGTTTTGGGTCGATGTATATTTACCACCGACGTTTTGCTTTCGAACATCGTTGTTGGGCAACATGGATGTTTTCTTGTCGACGTCGCATCATCAGCCTGCACCGCGCGGACGACTGACGCACTCGTACGAAAAACAGCGCGCGTCGGCGGAAGTCCCTTTTTAGGCCGCGAGGAAAATCCTTGCGGGGGGGGGTGCTTGGAGGCTTACGGAGGCCGCAAGACGCGTCCAACGCGCGCAGGAAGCGGCCTGGAGGGCATCTTGATGCTGCGAGGAGAGCCCTCTCCTTATTGACAGCCCTCGACCCCGCCCTCCCGCACAAGGATGGGCTTCTTCGGCGCCGGCCTTCGCTGGCATTTCGCGCGCGCGTTTGCCGCGTTACGGCGTTTCGCGACCTTGACCAACACCGACACGCGCGGGGAGCGCAAAGGCAACAGTCACGCCATATACACAACAAAACATCGATAATAGTTGAATCGTTTATTTCAGAAATCCGTATTTCTTACTTCAAGAAAACTGAAAAAAAAGTCTCCCAATTTATCTGATTTCAACATATTTTTAGTTTATAAATGCATACGTTTCATATAAATATGCACTAAACGATATGTCTATCCCTTTGAAACAATAATCCGCCGCTAATGCGTCTATTAGATATTGGTGTTAAACGGGTCTCCGAAATACACGATTCAATTCATGTCTATATTTAATAATACACCGACGAAAAAACATCGATGTTGTGAAGCTGGTCAGTAACCTCCAACATTATATCGGTGCGCAACAATATTTAAGTTTGAGAGTGGACCGGTGTATTAATTTATAATTAAAATTTAACTGAAAATAAACATATAAAACAACGCACCTGCAGAACACTATGAAAGGCAAAGGAAATACTAGGACATCTTGGGTGAGACACAGTCTGCTCGATGAAAGTACTATAAACCGCGTTCGATTGGTTCGGAAACAATCAGACAAGGATATTATCAGATATAATTTCATAGTTTAACTTTTAAGAAATTATAATGAGAATTTTTCATCCTCGGAAAAAACGAAGTTAAAACATCGAATTTCCAAAAACATCAGATTCACTATATCCATGTTTTAAAACGGTCATTTTTTAAATGTTTTGAAAACATCGACATCTATGCAGCATCGCTAAAAGGTAAAGCCTTAGGCCTTGAGTGTATCAGTCCTTGGGAGGGTGAGGGTTCGAACGCGGCAAGGTGCGAAAAATTTACTTGATGTGTTAACTTTGGTCAGATTCTTGCGCCTATCGGAATCTAAATTTGTAAGTAGACTCTTCTGACCAGTAGTTTCCGCCGTGTCCCATCACTTCAAACTTTATCTTTGCGATTTAAACGGTGCTCAAGTACCCTGCGAAATATTTCAGGGGTTGCCTTCGCATTCGGGAGGCCCGGGTTCAATCTCCGTGCCGGTCATCCTGACCGGGGTTCTCGTGGTTTACCTCGGCCAGCCAGGCGAATGCCGGGATGGTTCTACTGAAAGGCCACCACCGCGAAACCGGCGTCGCTAGCCGAATTGGGTAAGTATGTAAAGGTTAAGCGAATTCGAGGCATCACAGGTTCCTGGTCGCGCGCGTTCGTAGGATTCTGCGGCCGGAGTCAATACATTGTCGACTATCCGTGATGAGCCGCGTCTCGGTCAATCGGGCTGACGTTTCGGCCATCTTGCTGTGGCCTACTTCAAAGCCATGCTCTGGAGTATAGCTCTGAAGAAGGCCACAGCAAGATGGCCAAAAACGTCAGTCCAATTGAGCGAGACGCGGCTCATCCCTGATAGCCAAGAATGTAGTGTCCTGGTCGGGTGACCGACTAGGAATCCCGGGATCTACCCGCGACGATGCCAATTGCTTTTTACGGGACATATACGGGCTAAATACAAATAGTATGCGGAAGTGCGCGGGTACTCGCGTTGTGAGACTAGCCAAAAGACAAGGAAATATGATTAGACAACATGAGATCGGTGACTTCCTTATTTCAAAGGTTTAAAAAAAATCCTTCGCCCATCACAACGCGAGTACCGCATATGTCGTGCTGGCGTACTCACTGCGAGTGTCACTCACCGTGCGATCCGGCGGCCGCGGCGCGGTGCGCCCTGGCGGCGGCGGCGGCGTCCTCGTCGTCGTCGCTGGCGTCGTCCAGGCTCTCGATGGACGCCAGGTAGGCGCACGACGCCGCCGAGTCGGCGCCGCCCGCCCCGGCGCCCAAGAGGCGCCGGCGCGCCCGCCGCCGCCCGCGCCGCGCGCCCCGCCGCCCCCGGCGCCGCCCGCGGCGCCCGCGCCGGCTGCAGTGGCTGGCGCCTGAGGGCAACACAACACACTCGCTCGAGGCGCGCCCTCGCACTCCCAGGCGCTGGATCTGCTGTACTTGCATTCGCTGACTACCACCTTTTTAACTGGCTTTTAAAAATTCGGTCTCGATCAAAGGAAACTGGTATCTATGGTTTTGACAACATGGGAATTCGTCTGACATACCTCATTTTAACGTGGCTTTAAAAAAATTCGTCTCGATAAACAAGGGAAACTGGATCTATGGTATTGACATACATGGAATTCTGCTGACTAACCTCATTTTAACTGCTTTAAAAATTCGTCCGATCAAAGGAAACTGATCTATTGGTTGAACAAACATGAATTCGCTGACTACCTCATTTTAACTGCGCTTTAAAAAATTCGTCTCGGTCAAAGGAAACTGGATTCTATGCGTTTGACAACAATGCGATTCGCTGAACTACCTCATTTTAACTGCCTTTAAAAAATTCGTCTCGATCAAACGGAAAACGGGTCTATTGGTTTGATCAAATGAAATTCGCTGAATAACCCATTTTTAACTGGCTGTAAAAAAAATCGGTCCTCCCGATCAAAAGGGAAACGGATTTGTTTTGACAACAAATGGAATTCGCTGACTATCATTTTAACTGGCTTTAAAACATTCGTCTCGATCAAAGGAAACTGGATCTATGGTTTGAACAACATGAGAATTCGCTGATGACCTCATTCTTAACTGCTTTAAAAAGATTCGGTCGTCGATCAAATGGAAACTGGATTAATGGTTTTGACAACATGGAAAATTCGCATGACTACCCTCATTTTAAACCGCTTTAAAAAATGTCTCGATCAAAGGGAAACTGGATCTAATGGTTTATGACAACATTGGAATTCGCTGACTACCTCATTTTTTAACTGGCTTTAAAAAATTCGTCTCGATAAAGGAAACTGGATCTTCTGGTTTGACAACCATGGAATTGCGCTGAACTACCTCCATTTTAACTGCCTTTAAAAAATTCGTCTCGATAAAGGGAAACTGGAATCTAATGTTTGAAACATGAATTCGCTGACTTACCCTGCATTTAACTGCCTTTAAAAAAATATCGTCTCCGATCAAAGGGAACTGGATCTATGGTTTGACACATGGACATCGCTGACACCTCATTTTAACTGCTTTTAAAAATTCGTCTCGATCAAAGGAACTGGATCTATGGTTGTTGAACAAGCATGAATTCGCTGACTACCTCATTTTAACGGCCTTTTAAAAAAAATTCGTGCTCGGATCAAGAGGAAACTGATGCTATGGTTTGGACAACATGGAATTCGCTGAACTACCTCAATTTTAAATGGTTTAAAAAATTCGTCGTCGATCAAAGGGAACTGCGATCTATGCGTTTGACAAACATGAATTCGCTGACTACCTCAATTTTAACTGCTTTAAAAAATTCGTCTGCGATCAAAGGAACTGATCTATGGTTTTGACAAACATGGAAAGTTCGCTGATACCTGAATTTTAACTGGCTTTCGTCTATAAGGAATGAAGTAACAGATGCTGACATCATTAAGCGGCTTAATGCTGATCGATATTGGTTTAACATGAAACTACACTGCTATGGAAATGATGGCGCACTTTTTGAACTTGAATGGGCGCTTCCATTTTAAGAATTTAAAAAAAAATCCTTTGCCCCCTCCTGAGGTAGGAGCTGCAAAAGAATTAATAATCAAGCTGATCTGTCTATCTGACTGTAATTTTCTACCACGACAAAATCATCTTCCAAACTTCTCTCCGGTGTGAAATGGGTTAAATGATCAGGGATCTTTTTAACGACGCTTGTTCCCCATTCACGCCTGCAAAAGAGCAAAAGAGATCTCGCCTTAAATATTCAAAATATATCTTCTAAAAGCTCACATTAGGGAATTACATTTCAATTAATAAAATAGAACATGCGAAGAATGAGCGAATTAAATTAATTGAACTTGATTAAATTAAATTGATTAAATAAATTGGATCAAACATTAATGACGAGCTGAGTGTGAATGAATAATAAGAGTAAATGAAAAGTTGCGAAATGAAAAATGAATAAGTGAGATTGAAACGAACAAATGAGAATGAATTAATATCTGTAAATAAGATAAGTGTAGCGTGAATGAATTAACTGGTGAATGACGAATACGTGAATAGAATTACTCGATAAATGCTTAATTGGATGGACTGATCGAGGCGAAAGTAAAATGAAATGGGACGAAATATGAGCTGTAAAAGATAGGCTGTAACTCACGGAGGACGAGGTGGAGGAGGACGAAGGAGGGCGATGGAGCTGATGGAGAGCGGGCCGCGGGAGAGCGACGGCTGCAGCGCGGGTAGAGGCGGTGGTGCGCGGAATGATAAGTAGTAGAGCATAAATCGTGGGCGGTGGCAGTGGGCGGCGGCGGCCGAGGAGGACCGTGCGGCGGCGGGGCGGCGCGCGCTGCGGCAGAGGGCGCAGCGGGCGCCCGCCCCCGCCGTGCGCGGGCTGCCCGGCGCCGCCGCCGCCGCCACTCCCGCGGCGCTCGCGCCCGCCCCCGCCCCGGGCGCCGCCTCCGCCGCGGCCGCCGCCCGCCGCCGCCCGCCGCCCGCCCGGAACCGCCCGATCAGCGCAGTCGTACATCCCCAGCAAAGCGTCGGCATCAAGTTCCGTCGACGTGCCTGCAAAGCACACGAGGCTGCGCGTCAGCTCAACTGCACCCACCACAACTATTACCCTTTCTTGGATTCTCCTTTTCTCACACTCAAATCATGCACAAGAGAAATAAACATTCCTTCGTTGACAAAAACATCAATTCTAAGCATTAGTCTAAACTTATAACTTATCATTCTAAACTTATGACCGTGCCCCTGAAGACGAAGGGCTCACACAGGTAATTTTACAGGCTAAAATCGCACGTACAATTTACTCTGACATTGAACGTATGTAAATAAAATTAAGTACACTTACGCCCAAACAATAAACTGTATAAAATTATAATTTAAAGAAACCTATAGAATGTACACATTTCACTTTGAATCACACACTTATTAGATTTGCTCTCACACACACATCAAACACAAGAGAAACAAACAATCCTTCGTTCACAAAAGAAACTTAATTCTAACCAATACTTTAAGACTGTGCCTGCGAAGAAAAAGGAAGACAGCGCATTCAGGATGTTTCGCGGAGCAACTTCGCATGTAAAAGTTACGTGGGCAATGAAAGTATGCAAATAAAATTAAGTATACGTATGGTAATACAATGAAGTATCTAGGGTGATAATTGCAACGCACAAAATGTAAGCATCTGACTGAACATCACACGTACGAGAAAAAAGGCAACAACCATAACTATACCTATTAGATTCGCCCGCGCGCGCACACACACATACACACTCACACACACACAACATACATACGAGCAAGCAAAAACTTCTCCGTTTACAAAGGAACATTATTGCTAAGCAGTGTTTTATTAATGGGCCTGTAAAGAAAAGAAAATATGAAAAACAGCTCACAAAGGTAATTTAACGGCTTCACTTAACATATAAAATTTATATGGACAATGAGCCTAAGTAAATACAATTAAGTACACGAATACCACTAAAATAACGTAACTATAATTATAATTTATTGAAACACACAGAGTTTGGTAATAAGAGAAAAAACCATATTGAGACAAAGAAAGTTATACAGCACATTGTATAATAATTATCACGGCAGATTCTGGTAATAATCTATTTTAAGTAATACAGAACTCGATTACCTACTTGCCCGATTCCCAATTGCACATTAAGTGAGGACAGGGATGACTTGGGTTAAAGAAGAACAAGTTAACGATAACTTTCAAGAATACGTAACATAGCTTGGTGCGTAAAAGCACAAAACACATCAAAATGTAACTGCATACGCATCGTTATGTGTAGTAACGACGGCCTCAAATACATTTACTAAAAGTAATTCGTTCTCAATTTGTACTAAAATACTGTACGCTGTCTCCGCAGTATATTTTACAACTTTCAGAAAATATTATAAGAACGTTATATATGATGCTACATAAGGTTGCCAATAACACCACTAGATATGTTGTAATATATTTATTATATGAATTGAGTGCTGTTTATATTAAGTTTTTATATATTGAAAATTATTTCAATAATGCATCTTCAAATAATATACGAAACCGAATACAACATAATTCCACGATTTGACTGATGTTACTTTGTCGCTCTCCTTCTGTTTTCAATACTTTTTATTTACAACAGGCATAAACAGACACAAAATAGAAAACTGACCATAGTTATGAGATGCAGCAGACGCGGAAACGAACTTCTGACCATACATTCCACGTCACTATCTTCACAACTTCTGTAAGAGCAGAACAACTTTTACCACCGTATTCGTGTCAAGCAGATGAAGTACTGGCACATACAGGGTTTGGAACCGTTGAAGTCTAAAGCGTAAGGGAATTGCCAGGAAGGAAATCAACTGACTTCAACGAACTTCCCGCAGCGAACCTCTTTGATGAAATGCGTGTAGGAACGTCTTCAAAGAATCCGCCGTCCCTTTAGCAGAACACGGGAGAAACCTGCTACCGACAGGCTACTCATTAACCCTCCCACACAATCTCCCTCAACGTTTTCTCTCGAAAATCTTGCCCGCCAGACGTCATGTAGTACTCGTTAAACTGAAATGATATCTTGTTCCTTAATTCAATAAACGCCTTTAACACGATCGTAGCATTAAAATTAAGGAGTTGCCGCACGCTGAGTGAAGCTTTTCTCACTTCGGGCGAAGGGAAAATGATTCCTGAAAGATTGACAAATAACCGGGAGATGCACTTTAGGGTGGCTACTCACTTCCTGAAACAAATTTCCCTTTTTTTCTGGTTTTCCAGGGCGTTATTTAAATTTTTCACAAATACGATTTGTAGAGCATTTCAAACTATTTGATGAAAAATCAAAGCAAGCCTGAAACTAATTTGTCAGCTCAATGACTTCGCTGCGATAAAGTCCAAATTTTAAGAAAAACAACAAATAGAAATTGAGCAAAAAGTAACGCTGAACTATTTTTTAGGAATAATATATAGTTTTATAATC